ACACAATCTTGACTGAAAACCGTCTCTAACATGGTCCAGCATAATTGGAGTTATTTGACGACACTCATTTACAATTCGTTGGTGTAGTTCGTCCAAATTTTCAGGCTGAGTCACAAAAATCTTGGACTTAAGATGTCCCCACAAGAATAAGTCCAGCGGGTTCAGGTCAGGAGAGCGAGGAGGCCACTCCATAGAACCTCTTCTTCCAATCCAACGACCAGTGTATTGTAAATTGAGGTATTGGCGAATTGGTGCGGCGTAGTTGGAAATGCAATTGTTGTTCAATTAGTAGAGGATCATTTTCTAATTTTTCTGTTATTAACAGATCAATCGCATTTTCCAGCATTTCAAGATAAATTTCGCCATTTAAATTACTAGGAATAAACAGAGGTTCAATTAGGTGGTCTCCCAAAATTCCTACCCAAACGTTTAGCTTTTCCGGATATTGAGTGTGAGCTTCTCGAAATTCTACAGTTATGCCGGTTAACCTCTCCATTAAGTGAAAAAGTACATTCGTCAGAAAAGCAAACGTATAAGAAAATTGGGTTATTGTTGATACGCTCGGCCATAATTTCGCAAAACTCTTGCCTTCGATCCAAATCATCATCATTTAATTCATGAATTAATTTAATTTTGTACGGATGGAACTTGTATTTATGTAAAATTCTGAAAACGTTATATTGGCCAATACCGGAAACTGCAGAAAGTTGTCGGACAGATTGCGTGTTTGGCATAAGTTGGACATGGCCCAATACCGCCACAGCTGCTCCTTCATCATTCACAATTCAAATGGGTGCCCATTTTTTATCCATTACTGAACCCGTCCCAACAAATTTTGAAATCCATTCCATTACGTACTTACCTATGGCGAACGCTACGTTCAGGATGGTTTCGGTTAAATATCCTTGCAGCCGCTCGGGCACCATTTTGATTTTGGTAATACAGGCTAACCAGCTCATCACGTTCTTGCAATGTGTACACCATAATTTATTTTTATAATTGTAAGCAAATCAGCAAAGTAGTAACTCAACAGCTTGATTTTTAATACATGAAATGATTGAAGAAACACGATAAGAACAAAAACTGAAGGCAAGATAAAAAAAGTTTTGATTTTTTTTTATTAATTAGTTCGAGAGAATTTATTATTGTATGGAAGTCAATGGAGGACAATTTGAACATTTGATTTAAAAACGCAGTTTTGATTTTTTTGATTGTAAGCATGATAAAATAATTTTTTTTAAGAATGTGATTTTTTTCGTACACCGTTGTAAAGAGGCTTTCAAGACCTTTCAAATGAAGTATTACTCAACCCCTCTTCCATATTCAATTTTGAGGGGTTGAAGCGCCCCCTCATAGGGGGTTGCTCGTTTAAGCCTCAAATATACGTCAAAAGATGTCCATCAAAGAAAATCATGCGACGTGTTTCGGGAAATTTTTCCAATTACTATGGGATAAGAAACACCCTGGAACACCCTGTATTGTGTTAGTGTAAATAAAAATTATCTCCGTTTAATTCCATAAAAAAATTAATGTCTTCCTAATTGACTTCTGACAAATGAACAATGGAGTACTTAGTACTAAGATATTTTAAAATAATGTTGATAAATCGTCAGAAGTGAACTGGATGGAATAAACTATAAAATACGAGATATAATGATGGATTGAGTATAGCATCGTCACTCTCACTATCACTAATATCTTAAGTTATTCTTCCACCTAGCCTTCTGACGATTTGCAAGTATTTTTATTTTGAATTACAGAATAAGAATTCTAATTGTCAGAAGTGTACCTAGTGACATCATTGTTGCTAAATTTTTCGCAACATGAGCGCCTTCTGACGACTTTTTCTCTTCCACCTAGACTTCTGACAATTGTATCCCTACTTTCTTATACTATCTCCGATAATACGGCAAATTTTTTACCTTATCACTTATTTTGCGAAAAAAATTGCATGTTTAACCCCCTATACCCTTACTTTATACTTCTAGGGTGAATTCTGACTGCCCGCCTCTCGCTATGTTGGTAACAATCGAAACTGTAAATAACAAAATTTTGACTTTACCGAGTCTCTGTGTCGCCAGCTCTCCGTCTAATAATGTTACAAGCACAAAATATTTTTCCCCGGGTTGTTTTTTTTAAGGAGTTTTTCCTGGATTCATATTATGGGAATAATTATTATAATTACTCACCAGAATAAACGTTTAGAACTATTTTCTTGGCATCACTAGAAAGGTTACAACGCTTCCTGTTTTCCTGTTTGTCCAAATTTATTTCGGAAGAATACTGTTGAACATTAACTACCTCACTCATTTTCACTACTTATTTTAACTATATAGTACCGAAACCTCGACCAAATCGCACAAATTTTAAAGCTAAACTAAAGTGATTAGGTAAATTCCATACCAATACTACCCAGGGCCCGATGCTCCCGTGTTCAGTTTTCGTCTGCCATGCGCATGGCGTCACTCATAGCCTGACTCTCATTAGGGAGAGGGGAGTGCTTATTTTCTCTGTAACGCATTTATTATAACAGCTACAACAAAATATTTAATACAAAAGAGGTTTATTAAGATTCGGATCAGAAAAATATTAAAAGTTTAGTAGTATTTTGACGTCCAGTGGACGTCCATCTTAGGTCATTATTTATTAAGCCTACCAGATAATACCCATCTATATATACTTCTTTTTTTAATATAACTATCTATTAAAAAGTTTTCAAGTGGTTCCTTGGTCGAGCTCGTCTAGCGATTGAAAGCGTAAAACGATAATGGATGTGTCGTGAGTTCGATTCCTGCTCAGGTCAAGCGATTTTTATAAAAAAAAAAAAAAAAAAATGGTGTATAGCGTTTTGCGAAAATAATAAATATTATTAATAATATAAAATAGTGTGTGGTGAGTTGCGGTTCTGTAAAAAAAAAGTAAGGATGTGGTCTCAATGGAAATATAATCCTGGACGTTTTTTGAATGTCCAGTATTCGACGTCCAAATATATTCCAGAATTGGACGTCCTCTGAATGCGGTCAAAAGTGTGCCATTTGTATACTTCACTGGACGTCCATTGGATGTCGGAAGTCCAGAAAAAACTAATTTTTGGACGTCTAGACATCCAAAATTGTATATCGAATGGACGTCCAATGGACATATTTGTATTGTCTGGGTGATATCAGGTCAGGTATTTAATACATAAACCTTAAATGACATCTGGCTTAACTTGGCGAGAAAACACTTGTTTCTACAGAAATGAGTAATAAACTTTACAGTCCTTTTAATATACTATAAATCCAGAAATTTTAAAAATATGTAAGTACTTTTTAAACCTAAAAGCTTTGAAAATATAAGCACATTGCAAATATTTAGTTAAATCTCTCAAACTTAATGTCTTTTTAATTTTTACCTAATTTTTTTTGGCGTCCCTAATTTTATTTACCTTATTTTTACTTTTTGAAAAGGTAATTTAATTTAAATATGGGGCTTTTATTACATTTTTAACAATAAATAAACCAAATATTGAACAAATTTTATAGATAAATTATAAAATAATAACGTCTTTTACTTTTATAACAAATAATTAATTATTACATAATGAATTATATTTTGGTGCCGAAATTTCACCATTGCTATTAACCCTAACTACTTCAATGTAATTAAATCACATTGCAACATTTGCGCATAGACTATAACAATAATTTCAGATAATTTGCCAAACTATTTCGCTCAGTGTAGAAAATAAGCATGTTTTCTCAGCGTGCTAAGTAGTTGTGTATTAATCAAAGTCATGCTGTGAAAAAGGTACATCCGATATCAAAGGCACCGACACCTACTGTCGCTTCTCCTTGATCAGTATTCTCGGATATATGCCTGTATATCTGTATGGTAACACATGTGGTTCTAAAACTTCGTCTAGTTACCCACGTGCTTACGAATTACCACCAGTTCAGTGCGCCCAATCAAGGTTACCCCACGATGAACCTTCCTCCAAATGGAACTCTGTTCCACAGTGCAATCTAACTCTTAAAGATGGTAGGGACTTTTGATAGCTTTTTTAAATGAAATTTATTTTGGTATTGGTTGGGTATGTATATTCAAGTTCCTGTTGTAGCAGTCCTGGATTGTCAAAAGCCGTATTAAATGATCTTCTATCTCGGAAGGTCCCTTGGTTCGATAATGAAGCAGGCCTTCTAACACCTACCATACATTTGATATTGTGTACAGGCTTTATTTATGAAAGCACAACTGACATTTTAGATTCGGAATACTGTCACTGTTAGTGGACGAACTCTTGAATTAGAGAATATATCGTATAGTTTATCAAGTACATTAGAATCAAAACATTTTATCAAACAATTGTTTCGGTCCTCTATCTAATAAAGTTAGTTAAATGGCGAATTATGGTTTGGAATTTAACTTTGTATCAAATTACATTATCTTCCAACACTTAATTATTAATCTTTAAAATTTATCTATTGAGAAAATCAAAAGCCAATAACTTGAAATATAATAAAATATCCAAAAATTTGAAATAAAGGTTTATAAGAATTATAAATAAAATTTGAATAACTTATTTTTTGAGATAAAAGCAAGTTACCCAGATAAGAATATCATAAAAAGAATAAATCTTGTCACAGATCATTAACTATTCGTCATGTGCAGACATAAGTAAATAAATAAATTTATTAAATTAAATTGAACTAAACAAAAACAGATTTGGTATTTATTAACTTTATTTAACAGATGTTTTAATTACCAGATGATGTTTGCACAAGATAAAGCCGTAAAAAGTGAATTTTATATCAAAATTAGTCAGTATGAGGACCTTTACCTTTATTTTCATTGATATTCTATTTTGAGATTTATAACCTTCATTCATTAAAAAAGAAAGCCGATTTTTTACAATTCTTTACTCATAGTTTAAATTTAAAAGAATGAATTCGATATTTAAGCTATAAGCCTATTATAAATTATAATTATTGTACCTTTAGAAATATATAATATGCACTTACCTCGGCCACTATATAAACTAACTCGATTTTTTCTAAAGACCAGTATGTACGTCACAAACGGGATAAAAAGAAGGCTAACATAATAGCCTGTGTAGTAAAAAACGTCCATTTCTTAAATTTGCTTATTTACTTACATACATGCTTACATACAACCAGTTCATGATGTGGAAGCAATTTAACTACAATAAATAAATAAATAATTGCTATCTTTAATTCGCCTTATTATCTAATCAAGTAATATAATAAATGCTCTCAAAATAAAAATATAATTATATACTATCGGAAAGATTCATTTGAAACAAAATAATCAGGAAATCAAACAAAGTGCAGGTTTAAGAAGGTCAACAATTAAGTTAGTTAAAAATTTAAATATAGAATAAAATAAACTCTCAATTATTATTAGCAAAATATTGCTATATCTACTAAAAACCAAAAAAAGACATAAAAAAAAACACAAGGTATGCACGAGTTTTGTTTTTAGTTTACATATGGTACAGCAAAATATATCACAAAATTGAGATATCTTGTTAGCATTACTACACATAAAATTAATTGGAGATTTTTGCATTAAATTTGTTTGAGCTCTTTTACATCGAAATGGTATATTATGCCTAGAAGTCAATCTAGGAATTTGAAAATCAATCTTATATAACAATTCAGAGCTATCAACTTTATTATTTAAGAGTTCATGTAAGTATAAAACAGAACCCTGCATCCTACGTTTTTCTAACGAAACAAAATCAAAATTATTTAGTAGAGTATCTCAGTCAATTTGAGGAACCTCTTTTGAACCTTCTCAATCAATATATACTGAAAATATATGGGACTCCAAATTAAAGATCCGTATTCTAATTTAGATCTAACCAAGCTAAAGTAGAGAGATGTTAAAGTCGAAATATATCTAAAGTTTCTACAGTTTCTCCTAATGAATCCATATGCACAGTAAGCTGATTTAACTATTTGGTTAATATGATTATTAAACGTTAATTGGCTATCAAAAATAATTCCAAAATCCTTGATATTTTCAGTACGTTCCAGTGTTACATTGTTAATCGAATATATAGGTAATGTATAGTATTGGATTTGCGTGAAAATGTTATTAATATTCAAATATAATCTATTTGAGGCTCCAATTTTCTAAATAAATCAGCTGATTCTGTAATACCACACAATCATATAAAGTAGAAATAAAAGCGTATAATTTGAAGTCATCAGCGAATATTAATTGGTTAGTATTAATTTCATCACACAGGTCATTAATAAATAATAGAAAAAACAAGGGACCCAAATTAGATCCCTAGCTGCTATATAGATACTTGAGCAGAATCAGTTTAAGTTAACAAATTGCTTTCTTTGGTATAGATAAGATCTAAATAATGAAAGGTACATATCTTTGAAGCCTAAGCATTGTAGCTTTTAAGGAAATATTACATGACTGATTTTGTCGAAAGCCTTGGAGAAATCAGTATACACCGCATCAACCTGACCTCTTCTATCTAATGATTCACATAAGTATTGACTAAATGTCGCTAAGTTGCTTATTGTGGATCTCGAGTTCATGAATCCATGCTGGTGATTGGAAATAGTGTCTTTTACAGAGAAGTATATGCGGTTATACAAGATTGACAAAAACTTTCGCTGCGTTATTCAGTATAGATATGGGCCTATAATTGTTAATCACATTACGATTTTCAGATTTGTGTGCAGGACACACTTTAGCTACTTTCCAGCTATCTGGAAAAGTTGACGTTTTTAAAATTAGGTTAAAAAGTGTCTTGAGGGGATAGATTAAAACTCTAATACAATCTTTTATTAAAAATGATGGAATTTTATCAGGATCAGAAGTAAATTTAATTTTTAATTTACCAGCAGCATCAATTATCTCTTTTTCAGATATAGGTCCGAACAAAAAATGTTAATGTTGAAATACATGGTCATACATACTTGATGAAACAAAATACTTTTTCCAGTGGCTTGGAAATTTTTTTTTCAATTTCAACACCTTGTATCTCGAAAATGGTGCATTTTAGAGGGTAAGTTAATAGAAACGTTTTTTCATATTTTTGGACGAGCTATCACGTCATGCGCATATATTATGAAACACCCTGTATATACTTACAACAATTTTAAAGGCCAAAGAGTAATTACAATTTAACATATTAAATATATATGTACAAAATTGATAAGATGCTAGACACATCGTTGAATAAAAGCAAATACCTGTTTGGCAACTAGTAAGTCCAGAAACATTTTATACATCTAATATACAAGGTTCTTTCGTTCGCTGTTGGTGCAGTGTGCACCAGTGTCAATTACACCACCTTATTTACCTAGTTTACTTCCTCGTTATTATACACATGTCGAGTGTAATTCACTTCTGCTAAGTAGCTGGGTGGTAGCTGGTGAAGAAAATATTTACCAGTGGACACCACATCGCCGATAGGAATGTGTAGTTGATTTTACACTGGGCCAAACGAAAGGTTTAGTGCCATTGGTGTAGTTCATTCCTACACCAGTGGGACGAACGAAAGAACTTAAAGGGTCCTAAAACTCGCCCATCAAACGAAAACCGTATAAATTAGATTTGATTTTGTCAATTTTACCTAAATTACTTTAATTCGAAAATGCTTCATAAGCGAGGTAGACAGAGCTCTTTGAAATTGGCACATCAAAGTCAATTTTTTCTGAAATATGACATTACCTCAAAAGTTTAAACTTTGCGGAGTGACTAAGCTTCTAATAAATGGCCAATTGGCCGCTGTAAATTTTATTTTTCTATTGAAGGAGTTTAAATGGGAGATCACCGGACATTTTCAATTATCATTTTTTCATCTTCATATTTTTAAAATTTGACGGATGCAGTGGCTGTTGGTGAATAAGTGCTGTAGAGCTGCAGAACTGTCAAAAATACAAATATCTCATCTAGATGAGATATTCTAGAGTAGATTTTATGGTTAATCCCGACGTCCGAATTCGTTAACTTGAAGTAATTTGGAATCAAAACGTATGTGTGAGGTGGCCTAGTTGGTTATCGCGCGGTTCGACTCGCTGTCTCGCACGCATTTTTCTTTATTCTCAGCTTTTCTTTGGGGTGTAATTTTCATACAAACATATTTCAGAAATATGCCCGAAACGTAAAAATGTTCTCTAAATATAATATTTCACAGTAATATTTCAGAAATGTGTTCTAGTTTTTTTTTTCTAATATATTATTAGACTAAAAAAAGACATTTAAAAATATACATGTTTATTTAAAATAAACAAAACTCAAACATTGATTCTTAAACAAACAAAAAAATAAATATGTTTTAAAGTATATTTCATAAAATATAGAAGCAAATTGCTTCATTTCCACCTATTCCTTACATGCACTAATTTGAAGCAACTAGTTTTTTTTTTAATAAATGCTCCAAATAAAGAAACATTTATGATTTATATAATCTAATCATCATTTTTGTAATAAAAAAGGATTCGAATCAAGTGATTCGAATCCATTTTTTTGGATCACGAATACGAATCACTGTCAGTGTTATACCATGGTATTAGGCATGCTTCCTAATCTAATATCAATATCAACTATGTGTCTATTATGGACTATGACTTGCATACAAATGGTTGATACAAGAAAATGTTGAAAAATTTACTTATTTTTTTTCTATAAATATGAACCATAAATAAATTAGAATCTACAAAAAATATATATTATTTTAATGCAAAAAACAAAATAATGTCTTTCGGTTAGCCTTACACAGAACCAAAATTTTCATCGAGGAGCGTCGATTATACCTGCAAACCAAAATAATCGTAAGACTGCACCAGACGAAGGAAGGCAAGTGTTAAATTTTAGGATTTTTTTATGTTGAATATTCATTGCTAATTTGTAATGTCAAAGAAGGCAGCAGAGCACCTAGGCAATTTTGAGTTGAAACCTATTCCATATTTTTAGGCTATTTTCAAGTTATTTTTATGCTACTCGTTTTTTTGCAAAAAAACAAAGTACACTGCTAGCTTCTAACGAAGTCAGCAGAGCACCTCAGTTTTTTAAATTTTATTCCAAAAACAACAACACAATATTTTTAGGATTTTAAAATATTGTTTTTAAAATATTTAGGGTGCTTTGCTAGCTTCAAAAAATCCATCAAAGCACCTCTGTTCCAACAAAATGCCCTGTATTTTTGAAAAAAACACTATTTTTTTTCGAAAACTTATAATATTTTAAGAGCCTAAAAATAGCTTAAACACGTGACATAAGTAGATGTTTCCAGAAAAAAAAATAAACAGAGGTGCTCTGCTAACTTTGTTTCAAAAAAGCACCCTGTATTATTTAAAAATAGCAATTTTTAGTAAAGTTTTAGAATATTCCAAGTATCTAAAAATAGCTTAATAATGCAGTGTGGTTGTTTTTAGAAAAAAGCTTTAAAAAACTGAAGTGCCCTGCTGGCTTCGTTCGAAGCTAGCAGAGAACCTTGATTTTTGCAAAAAACGAGGAGCATAAATTTTTTGAACAGGGTATAAAAATAGCCTAAAAGTATGGCATAAGTTTCAACTCAAAATTTTCTTCTTTGACATTAATTTGTAGATTGCTATGTTTATCTTCTAAATATTAACAATCGGTCTTCAGTCTCAGTTTGTTTCACTTTACAATTCGCGACAAGTCAAAGCGTGAGTCGACTGTTCGCGCTGGCGTAGTTTGGTCTCCAAAAGGATCCGAGATTAATACTGGTGATTCGAATACGAATCCTTAAGGATTTTCTCGGCGAATCCGGATCCTTTTTTTCTTAAGGATTCGAATACCGCTCGCGGATCCTCAAAAAGGATTCGCATTAAGATCAATTAGCAATTTTATTTTTATCTAACTTATCTAGGGATGAAAAACTTCATAAACTAAGATTCTACTCACTATATAGTGTACTTTAGAGTCTAATTATTTAGTTACATTACAGTTAACGTATAACACTTAACCACACTATACTCTGTTTTAATCTAACATCACTGAACTAACTCAAAAGGCCTGGTTCTCTGGAGTCTTCTTATTAGATTGGCATTGTTGAGGAGCAGGATAATCTCAAGGTTTCCATGTTGGAGCAGTCGTTGTTGGTGACTATTTTTGTATTGTATTTTCAACAGTATCTACTTTAAGGTCCCTATGAAGATCAGTATTACGGCAGTATCAGGATGCGTCG